TCCTGGGCCCAAGGCAGGTGTGGTGAGGACTTGCTGGTGTGGGGAGACAGGCCATGATGTATGCTGTTAGCAGAATGTTTCGCCATCGCATCAGGGAGGCAGAGTAGTGGATATCTCCTGGTACATGAGAACACCACTGTTGCTGACCCATGCTGCTGCTTGGTCATTGGGGAGAATGCCACTGCCACTGACCAGTGCTGATGACTGATGGTTTAAGAGAACACTTCTTCTGCTGCTGACTTCACTGAGACACTGAAGGAGTACAGAGGGGGAGAACAGCTGTTGCCCCCCAAGAGTTGGTGAGAGGCCACTGGCCAAACCCTACTGCACCCCATTAAAGATGAACAGTATTGTCTGGGACACTGAGCAAGCACCTATGGCCAGCTTACAAGGAACTTATCTTGAGCACTCCAGTACCAGATCTGGGCCCCAACATGATGGCCAGCAGGGAAAGAGCTTAATACAGACTTACATTGTTCCTTAGGCAGGACAAACCCCTAATATAGGGATCTTTTTCCAGACCATTGGCTTACTACCTACTGTATACTCAATTGCTGTTGTGCATATATTTGCTTGCCAACTGTATATGCTATTTGCTACTGTTTTATATATTTGTTTGAGGGATTGTTGCCATTTTCATTTCTTTGGTTTCTAAATATATATATATATATATATATATATATATATATTCACAATAAATATCTCTTTTTCAGTCCCCTGGAGACTGGGATTTAGCTCTGCAGTCACTTCTGCAGCAGTTGTTTTCTTATTCTGAGTCACAATCCTGCGCAATGTCTTTTTTGTTTCTTTAGGTCAGTTGACCGTGTCAACCATGCTTATGCTTCTCAGACGATGTTTTCCCTGCTGTCATAGCCTTCAATACTATACCTTGCAGCACGACAAATAAATTGGCAACTTCAGTCACAGAGGCACCAGCTAAGCGGACACCAACCATTTGCCCTCTTTAATACTCAGTAAACTCTGACATGACTCAGTATTACTAGCAACGCACTTAGCGAATAACAAAAGTGAGGCTTCCCACTTGTCAGCTAGGTGTCTTATCACACAGGAAAAACAAAAGAATGTTACATCACTTCCACTTTCAACGCGAAACATGTAGTCACTTTTACACTTGCAAATCCAGCAAATCCAGCCTTTTAATTTCTATATTAATACCATTGGTAGCAAAGCCTTCATTTTTACCTGCCAGGTGGGCAACCCAATGTGTATGGCCAGCATTAGACAATAAGATCTGCTGGGGTGCATCTAATGTTCACATTGCTATGCGCTCTGAAGAACATGGTGTAATAAATTGACACTATATATATACTGTATATATACTGTATATATATATATACAGTCATGGCCGAAATTGTTGGCACCCTTGATATTTTTCCTGAAAATCAAGTATTTCACACAAAAAAGGTATTGCATTAACACATGTTTTGCTATACACATGTTTATTCCCTTTGTATGTATTGGAACAAATATAAAACAGAGGCAGAAAAGCAAATATGACATAATGTCACACAAAACCCCAAAAATGGGCTGGACAAAAGTATTGGCACCCTTAACTTAATATTTGGTTGCACACCCTTTGGAAAACATAACTGAAATCAGTCGCTTCCTATAACCATCAATAAGCTTCTGACACCTCTCACCCGGAATTTTGGACCACTCTTCCTTTGCAAACAGCTCCAGGTCTCTCTTATTGGAAGGACACCTTTTCCCAACAGCAATTTTAAGATCTCTCCACAGGTGTTCAATGGGATTTAGATCTGGGCTCATTGCTGGCCACTTCAGAACTCTCCAGCGCTTCTTTGCCATCCATTTCTGAGTGCTTTTTGACGTATGTTTGGGGTCATTGTCCTGCTGGAAGACCCAGGATCTTGGACGCAAACCCAGCTTTCTGACACTGGGCCCTACAGTGCGACCCAAAATCCTTTGGTAATCCTCAGATTTCATGATGCCTTGCACACAGTCAAGGCACCCAGTGCCAGAGGCAGCAAAACAACCCCAAAACATCATTGAACCTCCACCATATTTTACCGTAGGTACTGTGTTTTGTTCTTTGTAGGCCTCATTCCGTTTTCGGTAAACAGTAGAATGATGTGCTTTACCGAAAAGCTCTATCTTGGTCTCATCTGTCCACAAGACGTTTTCCCAGAAGGCTTTTGGCTTACTCAAGTACATTTTGGCAAACTGTAGTCTTGCTTTTTTATGTCTCTGTGTCAGCAGTGGGGTCCTCCTGGGTCTCCTGCCATAGCGTTTCATTTCATTTAAATGTCGACGGATAGTTCGCGCTGACACTGATGCTCCCTGAGCCTGCAGGACAGCTTGAATGTCTTTGGAACATGTTTGGGGCTGCTTATCCACCATCCGGACTATTCTGCGTTGCAATCTTTCATCAATTTTCCTCATCCGTCCACGACCAGGGAGATTAGCTACAGTGCCATGGGTTGCAAACTTCTTGATAATGTTGCGCACTGTGGACAAAGGCAAATCTAGTTCTCTGGAGATGGACTTGTAACCTTGAGATTGTTGATATTTTGCCACAATTTTGGTTCTCAGGTCCTCAGACAGTTCTCGTCTCCTCTTTCTGTTGTCCATGCTTAGTGTGGCACAGACAGACACACAATGCAAAGGTTAAGTGAACGTCTCTCCTTTTTATCTGCTTTCAGGTGTGATTTCTATATTGCCCACACCTGTTACTTGCCCCAGGTGAGTTTACAGGAGCATCACATGCTTGTAACATTCTTATTTATCCGCAGTTGTGAAAGGGTGCCAATACTTTTGTCCAGCCCATTTTTGGAGGTTTGTGTGACATTATGTCGAATTTGCTTTCTTTCCTCCCTTTTTTTTGTTTTGTCCCAATACACACAAAGGGAATAAACATGTGTATAGCAAAACATGTGTTAATGCAATACGTTTCGTGAGAAATACATGATTTCCTGGAGAAATATCAAGGGTGCCAACAATTTCGGCCATGACTGTATATATGAAATAAATGTTTCTCTTTTAATTTTTTTTATGATCATTGAATGTCATAGGAATGCATGCTGGGTAATTGGACAATAAATCATGATAATGAACACTGATTCATTTGTTAAAAATACAAATCTGGGTCATTTGCTGGAGTCCTAACTTTGCCTCTATTAGTTAAACCTGAGCCTGTGTTTGTCTCTTAGAACTGCGAGATTAGCATAGCGTCTATTTGGCTATTTTAGGTGTAAGTTGTTCCTTGATAGTTTTAACCTCTGACCCTCAATACTAACTGCTGAAGTGCCAAGATGCTGTACTGGAGGATATAAGATAAACAGGAACTAATTATGCTCAGGGTCTTGGCACACAGATCTGTTTGTGGAACACAACCCTCTTGACCTTGGTGAAGACAAAGCTCTGCAGCCGTCTCCAGATGGACAGTTCAGTCACCGCTAGATTGTTCCTACTGGAAACTTCCTGGCACCCATCAAAATGCGCAGAAAGTGACTTGCATTGTTTTCGCTACATTTTTTCAGCTGTTTTGCTGTGTTTGCATCTCTAGGAGTGTTATGGACCAAAGTAGGACTTAAGGTGCTCTCCCTCTAAGCCTGTCCTTCAGTATAATGCTCCACCCATCAGAGGAATAAGGAATCAAAGAATAAACTAGATCCTGTATTAAGACATTATTCTACCTTTACTCAAAGAAGCCCATTAAGGCTTCAGCTACCATCAGATGATAGACAGTTATACAAACACCAAATGATCAATCAGATAAGAAATATTTTTACAAACATACTAATAATAGTGACTGTTCAGTGGACTTTCCACTGAGCGGGTTTGCCTGAGGAGCGTTGGATGGGGACATTGAGATACCTACAAACATGTGAACATTCCCTACTCCAGCCATAAATGACTGGATCAGACCATCGTTCTCCAATGTCTGTAGACATGTTAAGAAATGAAATGAGAATGCCCTATTGTGCCAGTCCTAGAAGACCTTGATTCATGTTCATAAAGGCCCTGTATATTTAAAATGTAGTCTTTTTAGATTGTTGCCACCCCTCACACAATAGACATCTTCAGGACCCTGGGAGGACCCATTTGAAAGCCTATGGGCAGTGTCCACATCACCACAAAACAATACTGACACTGCAAGAAAGGCCATTCAACGTGACCATGAATGGAGCTAAGTATATTAAGCTTTTACGTAATTTTTTAAAATTAAAATTTCAGAATAAATAAAAGGGGTTTGAAGGGATAGTTTTTATTTTAGACCCCCACTCAACTTTAAAAGAGAGAGAGGGAGTTTAGCATGGATATCGCCAGGTCTAGTGGTCCAAAGTGCATGCCAAAAGTGGGGTTATGAGACAGAGATTTGAAGTTACAGACCTCAAAAATTGTCACCATTATTATTTTATGCAGTAATAAAGCAAAGCAATTGAAGGGACCCTCTGTATGTATTTCAGCCATGAACATAGCTATTAATGTACATTGCCCCTTTATTATCACAGTCAACTAAATCAACTTTAAATAAAAGTAATATATTATCATGTATGTGTAACACCCTTGCTGTAATGTCAGCTGCAGGATGGTAAAACCAACAAAAGATGGCAGTGTCCTGCAAATTCAGTGGCATTCACATTCTGCAGAGCAGCCCTATGAACTTTGTATGCTGAATCGCAGGACTTTGCTGGGGAGCAATGTATAAGAGGACTACTTTTCCCAAAAGTGCTGGTCTGTGGGCAGATACACTATATTGCCAAAAGTATTGGGACACCCCTCCAAATCATTGGATTCAGTTGTTCCAATCACCACCATGGCCACAGGTGTGTAAAATCAAGCGCCTAGACATGCAGACTGCTTCTGCAAACATTTGTGAAAGAATGGGTAGCTCTCAGGAGCTCAGCGAATTTAAGCATGGTACCGTGATAGGTTGCCATTTGTGCAATAAGTCCATCCGTGAAATTTCCTTGCTACTAAAATATTCCACGGTCAACAGTTACTGTTGTTATAACAAGGTGGAAGCAACTGGGAACAACAGCAACTCAGCCACGAAGTGGTAGACCACGTAAAATGACAGAGTGGGGTCAGTGCATGCTGAAGTGCATAGTGTGCAGAAGTAGCCAACTGTCTGCAGAGTCAATAGCTAAAGACCTCCATACTTTGTGTGGCCTTCAGATTAGCACAACAACAGTGCGTAGAGAACTTCATGGAATGGGTTTCCATGGCAGAGCAGCTGCATCCAAGCCTTACATCACCAAGTGCAATGCAAAGCATCGGATGCAGTGGTGTAAAGCACGCCACCACTGGACTCTAAAGCAGGGGAGACATGTTCTCTGGAGTGACTAATCACACTTCTATGTTTGGCAATATGATGGATGTGTCTGGGTTTAGCGGTTGCCAGGAGAACAGTACTTGCCTGACTGCATTGTGCCAAGTGTAAAGTTTGGTCGAGAGTGGGTTATGATGTAGGGTTGTTTTTCAGGAGTTGGGCTTGGCCCCTTAGTTTCAGTGAAGGAAATTCTTAAAGCAGCAGCATACAAAAACATTTTGGACAATTTCATGCTCCCAACTTTGTGGGAACAGTTTGGAGATGGCACCTTCCTGTTCCAACATGACTGTGCACCAGTGCACAAAGCGAGGTTCATAAAAACATTGATGAGTTAGTTTGGGGTGGAGGAACTTGGTTGGCCTGCACAGAGTCCTGACCTCAACCCAATAGAACACCTTTGGGATGAATTAGAGCGGAGAATGCAAGCCAGGCCTTCTCGTCCAACATCAGGGCCTGACCTCAGAAATGCAATTCTGGAAGAAAATCAGACCAGACCACAGAGCTGGAGAGAGGAGAAGCAAGGAGGAGCCACTGACTATTGACCTTGCCACCTTCTTCAGTGAGACAGTCTGCCAGCAGGTGACCCAGAGCGCAATGACTGGATGGCACACTGCATGTGAGGCTGGAGAACCTGAGGGGGCCCCCATCCGTCAAGAGAGATACCACCAGGACCTGCTGGAAGCCACCGATTGGGTGAGAGAGTCCCATACACCAGTTAAGCAAGAGAACACTGACATTCTCCCCCATACTGTCTTACTACTTTGCCTGCACACAGTTGTGCACATTGCATCCAGTTAACATGTGTTGCAGCCTAGTTGCCATAGCCACTACTGTTGAACACATTTTCAGTACAGTTAAATCATCAAAGCTAACCACACTGCACACACCTCCTGCAAGCCAGATCACATCAGTGCTCCCTGAACCATTGGTCTATCCTCCTAAAGAAATTTCTGCCACCATTGCCATTGGTCACCACATCCCAGAGTGGAGTCAATCCTGTCAGGAACTATCACCTACAGTCCTGCCTATGTATTATTATTATTATACAGGATTTATATAGCGCCAACAGTGTGTGTTGTGAACCAACTGGGCCCCAGCGAGCGTGCAAAAGAGTCTACCCTGTACTTAAAGGGACATTGACTACCCTGGTCAAGGAGCTCTTCTACCTTAGATTTAAACCATGTTGTCAGACTCTGAGGACACAAAGTGAGGTAGTCTCATTGTTTGCTAGTTCTTATTGCTTACTGGGGTTGCTACCACCTCAGGTTGGAGCAATTGGGTTAATTTCTGAAAGCAGGCCTGCTAACATTGATTGAACTTCTGCTATATGTGTTACTTCTTTGCTTAGAGTGGCTAAGAGTAATTTTTGCCATTCCAAGTATCAATACCAGTTTGTACTGTTCAACCAAGTTTGCATTGAAGTTTAATATAAACCTCATATCAGTTTACTCTAATCTGTGTTTGAGTTTACTTTCTGGCGTCAATTTACTCTGGTCAAAGGAATCTTGTGGTGTCAGCAAGGGTTGGGTTTTCACAGAGGGGTTCAGAATGACTGGGAGCCAAAAAATAACTCAACGACTCCTAAGGGGGTAGTGCTACATATGTTTATTTAATAATATGAATGTGATATAATCCAAGTAAATTATATCCTCTATAACCCTGGTGCCTAATCTGGCCCAAGTCAACATGCAGCCCTTTGGTGTTTGAAGTGTAGTAGTCAGTAGAGGGAGAATTGATTTATAATAGGTCCCTTAATAGTAGTCTAGTCTAACAGGATAATGCAACATGTCCCTAGTCTTTCACTGTCTCCTATAGCATGACTTCAGTATCCAACCACTCCTGTAGAACAATCTCTGACCATTTCCTCTAGTAAGTCTTCAGTCTGTGACAGTTTTCTGTAGCATTAGATATAATAAATATTATATTAAGACCCTTTGGGGACATTAGGGGCCAAATTTGAAGACCCCATTACCTTGCAAGTTGACAACCACTGCTCTATAAAATAGAATTAAATAAGGGTTTTGCATCAAACTAAACTATTTACATTTCTTTTAAAGCATTTACTGACACAAAGCGTTGCCATTTTCCTAACACTAGAGGCCAACATTAAATTCTGTAAAACAACATAAAGGCCCTTCTCCATATTGATTTAAATGAAACGTATAATGGTTTTGTATGTGTTATCCTCGGGCCTTTACACCGTGTTCCAAATTATTATGCAAATTATATATTTCTCATTTACCTAAATAATTGATGTAAATAACAGTCAGCATAATTCTCATGTTATCAACTATTAAGAGTACAATTCAAATTTGATTGAACAAACCTCCTAATGATAACAGGATTTTTTTTAAACATAAAAAACTTACAATGCATTGTTCCAAATTATTACGCACAGTAAGTTTAAAAACACTTTATAGGTTGTAAAGAACTGAAATTTGTCATTTGTTGTGTTTGCAGCATATTTACTGAAATCAAAAGCTATTTCAATCAAACTTTTAACAACATTTTAACTTTGTAAACATTTTAACAGGTCACGTTACATTGTAACATAGGACCCCTTATTTGATAGCAGCTTCACAAGTCTTGCATCCATTGAACTTGTGAGTTTTTGGACAGTTTCTGCTTGAATTTGTTTGCAAGATGTCAGAATAGCCTCCCAGAGCTGCTGTTTGGATGTAAACTTCCTCCCACCCTCATAGATCTTTTGCTTGAGGATGCTCCAAAGGTTTTCAATAGGACTGAGGTCAGGGGAGGATGGAGGCCACACCATGACTTTCTCTCCTTTTATCCCCATAGCAGCCATTGATGCAGAGGTATTATTTGCAGCATGAGATGGTGCATTGTCATGCATGAAGATGATTTTATTACGGAAAGCATAGTTCTTCCTTCTGTACCAGGGAAGAAAGTGGTCAGTCATAAACTCCACATACTTTGCAGAGGTCATCTTTACATCTTCAGGGGCTCTAAAGGGGCCGACCCGCTCTGTTCCCATGATTCCGGCCCAAAACATGACTCCACCACTGCCTTGCTGACGTCGCAGCCTTGTTGGAACAGGGTGGCCGTCCACCAACCATCCACTACTCTATCCATCTGGCCCATCCAGAGTTGCACGGCACTCATAAGGGAACAGGACTGTTTGAAAATTAGTCTTCATGTATTTTTCTGCCCAATGCAGCCGTCTCTGCTTTTGAGCATTGGTTAGTGGTGGCCGAATAGAAGGTTTATGCACAGTTGCAAGACTCTGGAGGACTCTGCACCTTGATGTCCGTAGGACTCCAGAGGCACCAGCAGCTTCACATATCTGTTTGATGCTATGTAATGGTATTTTAGCAGCTGTTCTCCTGATTCAATGCATGGATCTGGCAGAAATCTTCCTCAATGTGCCTTTATCTGCACGAAGCCATCTGTGCTCTGAATCAGCCACAAATCTCTTAATAGTGCGATGATCACACTTAGGTTTTCGTGAAATATCTAATGTTTTCATACCTCGTCCAAGGCATTGAACTATTTCACTCTTTTTGGCAGCAGAGAGATCCTTTTTCTTCCCCATATTGCTTGAAAATGGTGCTCTGCTTAATAATGTGGAACACCGTCCTTTAGTAGTTTTTCCTTAAATTGGGCTCACCGGCCAATCTAATTATCACACGTGTCCGAGATTGTTTTCAGTGATCAAAAGAGCCCTGAGACACAATGCCATCCATGAGTTACACTGAAAAAACAAAATATTTAATCTTTGTGACACTTAAATAGAATTTGCATAATAATTTGGAATGCGGTGTATTTAGGAGGAACCAGGGGTGGACTGACCATTTGGAAACTCGGGCACTGCCCGAGGGCCCGGGGTCAGTAGAAGGCCCCATGAGATGCCCCTGATACCTTTTTCATAGACTTTTTTTGACTTTGGGCAAGGACACAGGGGCCCCATGATTCCCTATTGCCCGGGGGCCCCATGAGTTGTCAGTCCGCCCCTGGGAGGAACTCAGTTCCGCAGCTCCAGCACTAAATGTATGTATTGGCAAGGGGTGCTGGGGTGTGCCGGAACAAAGAGACCCTTGAAATAACTTTTCAGTCTCAAGGAGCCCCTGATAAAACTTACTATGTCAGCAACTCATGATGCATTAGTGCAGGAAAGAAGTAAGAAGCAAGAAGAATGTACCTTACATTTGTGGACATTGGGAAAAATTACCCCTTACAGACAGCTAAAAAGATCAATAGTGTCAGTGGGAACTTATCTGGGAGGCAGACATTGTTCATTGGTCAAGGAACCCCTAGCAACCTCTGGAGGAAGCCTGGTTGAGGTAACTGTTGAGACTGTACTACACTATTATGAGTTTGTGTGTTGTTTCTTTCTTGTAGGTTGGGCTCCTGGGACTTTAACTGGCCATAGATGGATTGAAATTTGACTAGTTCAGGAGGGACTGGCCAAATGTTCAGCCATCTCTAGCTGTTCCAGTTCATGAGAAGTTGATCTAATGATCGACTTCTCATGAACTGGCTTGTTGAAAGATTTTTGTTTGATTAGCACTGCAGCCAGTCAGCTGCATCAGTGTTTTCTGACAACAAAGAAGCTCCCACTGTCAGAAATCATTTAGTTTTTTTCAATCAGCTTGCTAGCTGATCGAAAAAACTGACCCATGTATGGCCAACTTTAGATAGTCAACATCCAGCAGCAGACAATATCAGATTCAATATCCAGCACCAAATTTAATAAAGGATTGAAGCATGTGTCCTTCTACCAATATAGCTTATACATAAAATCTAAACATTTCCAATATACCAACCATATTTATCCAAATATGACTAGACTATATGAAAAAAAAATAGGAGTCGCCATCTCATAAGAACAATGTGCGCTTCTTCTACACTGACATACGGCATCTAGATACTTCTTCCCTTTGATCCCTTTAATAAACTG